TTTTGGATTCTCTAGGTAAGTGCTTGAACCAAGGGAAGGGAAGGGGAGGTTTAGGGGGGAGGATTTAATTTCAGAGGCATGCAATGGATTGGTAGTACGAGACAGAAGAAAGTGACTCACATGGAGCAACACGAAGATCTGTACCTGCCAATCCAACCGACATCGAGTCGAGCTCCACCCAACCCCCCAATCATTCTGAAATTACTGGAGGCCTATCATGAATTCTTCACNAGCTTTTGAAAGGTAAATAAGCACTATATTTAATTTCAGAAGCATGCAATGGATTGGTGAGATGAGACAAAAGAAATTGGTTCAAATGAGGCAACACAAAGATCTGCACCTGCCAATCCAACCGACATCGAGTCGAGCTCCACCCAACCCCCCAATCATTCTGAAATTACTGGAGGCCTATCATGAATTCTTCACAGATGCACATCCAAAATTTACATACTGGGTTCGTACTCTCTATATATCTCTCTCCCTCGCCATACACACACACATTCACACTCATATATATATATATATGTATATATATATATATATATAAATATTTTTATAAGTGCATGTATCATTTATTGTTCAATAATGAGAAAAATTGTAATTCTCCTTAGAGAGGCTGGCTAGAACGTGTTGAAGAGATAGCACAAAGAGACGCTGTTGACGGTGATGGGGGAAGGCAATTTTGGAGTAGTGCGGAACGCCTGATGAATGAAAATGCCGAATCGAAATTTGAATTTACATTTACCTATGACGGTAACTAGTTCAGTTTTTGAAAAGTAGCTATTAACGTGGCGATATGAGAAAGTGGTGAATTGATTGACTTTATTTCTCATGACTCAGGTGAACCGGGAAACGGTGCTGGGGTGGATCGGGACTTCTACTCAGAATTGAGCAGAGAATTCTGCCGAAAATCTGGTCACATGTGGTTGGATGCATCTAAGAGCGAGGATTCTCTCTTCGTGCATACACCATTTGGGCTCTTTCCTACTCCATACCCACGACATCTTGTGCCCGTAGGCGTACTCAGGCGATTTCATATTCTTGGCATTTCTATGGCCAAAGCTCTCCAGGTACTAATCTTCTATGCACACATTATTCATTTTTCTTTTTTTTCATTTAAAATCTCATATTAAATGGCAAATTTGTGTTAAAGGATGGCTTCTTGATGGATTTGCCCCTGTCACAACCCCTTTTGAAAATTATTGTGAGCTACAGTGAGGCTGGAGCAAACCTTCGCCAGCCAGATTTTCATTGGCTTGAAAATGTGGAAAATCGTGTAGGACCATCTTCCTGCCGCAGGTTTATTGCTCACTGGAAGTTGTCGGGCAGTAGACATTGGCTCACTGGACTGCTTGACGAGGAAGACTTTCTTCTTCTCTACCCGCATTATCGAAGCATTCTCCCGGGTCTTTTGGAGCTTTATCGAAGACAAAGAACACTTCTTGAGGATGGTGACGGCCTTAGAGTGGAGCTCCTGCGGCCATTTATAGACTCAACCAGCAAAGAGATATTCGGAGTGGAGTTGGACGACCTCTGTATACCCATGACAGTGGAATGCAATTCCCATGTGAGTGAAAATCACATTGCATTGTTTTTTGCTCTTGCATTCATTCAACAGAAATCTATTTTCACCATTCATCTTTTCATCAGATGAAAACTACTACTGTGAAGCTTAGAGACGTGTATCCCTGGGAATCAGGAAATGCAACGACTACATGTGGAGACGACGAAGTGGAATACGTGACCAGCGATAACTACGGGGTTTATATTCGCAGATTGCTGGAATTTTGTTTGGATAAAGGCATTCGCGCTCAAATGGAAGCCTTTGTCTGTAAGTTCAACCACCGCATGAAATAGTCACTTGCTTCAATTCGTTCAGAAGCCGGAAATCTTATTTCTTTATTCATTTCTTCAATTTCATCACCTAGGTGGATTCGAGCGTGTATTTCCCCTCAAATGGTTATCAATGTTCACCTGCACAGAAGTTCAGAAGTTGGTAAGCGGCCAGCTTGCGGAGAAGCCGTGGTCACTGGACGAGCTTAAAGCAAATATTCTCTTCGGTGATTTCAGCGAAAATTCCAAGACGATTGAATATTTCTTTAAGGTGCTTATTGGCTTCAACGTAGAGGAACGTCGGAAATTCTTGCGTTTTGCTACTGGCTGCTCAACCCTACCCATGAATGGGTGGAAAGATTTGTCGCCAAAATTCCAAGTTCATAAGTCTAGTGAAGGAAGCAGAAAGGCATATCCGTGTGCGCAGGCGTGTTTCAACACATTGTACCTACGTGAATACGCTACTTTGCAGGAGTTGCGAGATCATCTGATTTTCGCCATCAATCAGACTTCCTTCCTTATTGCGTAGATTTTTCCAGTCTGTTTCTGTACACTTTTGATTCATGAATTGCATTAATAAATTACTTTGTTCACCATTTATTTATATCAAATGACAGGCTTTACGTTAGTTTGTATTATACTTTTAGATAACATCGGGCTTGTCAGAGGGGAGGAATATAGAGGTCACACAAGTTGAGGTGGGGGAAGGGGGGGGTGAGGGGAGGGGTTGGATATAAAAGAGTGGTTCACAAATGGAAAAGAGGTAGACAGACACAAAAGTGGAGAAAAAGAAAGAGGAATGTGAGTACTGTGGAAGTGATGGAATATGGCATAGAGTGGGGTCATGATGGTTTGAAATCATAAGCCAACCACAGGTTTCTTGACCTAATATACATCCCTTGTAATCAAAAAATTTTCTGATATTTTAATAACTCCTTTCGAACTTATTCCATGGACAATATTGAACTCATGTCGCGTGTATTTGTGTCGTAAAGTTAATGTGATAAAATGGCAGAGCAATTGCTGATATCGACTGTTGGGCAAAGAACCGCAAAATGCACCACACTTGTTTCATGTAGGTTGAAGCAATAGTTGCATATCACTCCATTTATGAGCATATTTGGTGAGATTCCATCTCACTTCGCTTAATCACTACCCATGCAGCTGCCGTTCGGCGCCTCTCAATTGAAATCTGCCCAAATTGCCATTGAGAATAAATTCGAATCTTTTGATCTGCTCTTGTTTCTGTAATAACATGGTAGAAGAGAGGTCCAAATATGAGAATAATGCAGTCCATTGATATGAGAGCTGAGGAAATCAAAATGGCTGTGAACTTTAAGTGACTAATTGGTGTGACTCAGCCCAAGTTGCGGTATTTGGAGGCGGCCTTACACAACCTACTTAAATAAAATTGAGATTGACCAGAAGATGCGACTAGAGATATAGATAAACATTCATTTATGATGTTTGTAAGAACTTTGAACACACTCCATTAAGACATGTTATTTATTTATTTATTTATTTCAAATGGCAGACGGACACAAAGGTAGAGAAAAAGGTAAGATGTGTACTGTGAAGGACACAAAGGCAGAGAAAAGGCTAGATGAGTACTGTGGAAGAGTCGAATATGACATACAGTGGGGTGATGGTAATTTGGAAGGGGTCGAATATGACATACAGTGGGATGATGGTAGTTCAGAAGGGGTCGAATATGACAACCAGGGCGGTCGTGGTAGTTAAGTGGTCGAATATGACATACAGTGGGGTCATGGTAGTGTGTAAGGGGTCGAATATGACAACCAGGGGAGTCGTGGTAGTTTGGTGGTCGAATATGGCATACAGTGGGGTCATGGGGCCGTATGAGGACACAAAGGCAGAGAAAAGGCTAGATGAGTACTGTGGAAGAGTCGAATATGACATACAGTGGGGTGATGGTAATTAAGTGGTCGAATATGACATACAGTGGGGTCATGGTAGTGTGAAGTCAGATGGGTGATGGCAGTTTGAAGTGAGAAGTCAACTGCCAGTTAATAGACTTTTTTGCCGTATGAATAGTTTGAAGTGAGAATTGAACTGCCGATTGATAGACGTTTTTGCCGCATGAGTATACGTTGCCCATGGTGCACCACGTGGAGGTAAGGTGTGAGTATACGTTGCCCATGGTGCACCACGTGGAGGTAAGTCCATTGCACACCCCCTATTAGGACAGATAATTGGAATTATAGTAGCTATTTGCAGGACACAAAAGTATTGAGGTCACATTGCAAACAATGAGACCACCAGATCTAACTCATTAAGTGAAACAATGAGGTGAATAGAAATGATGTTAGAATAAAATTGTGTGAAGTGGAATGCTAATTCACAAGTAAAAAGAAAGTTCTGTGATTTGAAAATTGAGTTATGATAGCATGATCATTAATGGATGAAGTGGTGTGAGCCCAATGTCAATCGAAATCTGACTTGAGGTTGATGGATAGGCGTTGTGAGGATTACGGACACATTTGCTTGCACCAGTCCTACTCATTCAACTGTCAGGAAGAAGTAGTCGAGTTAAGGGAATCAATTTCCTGTCATTTTGACCTTATGGAATAGGTTCTACTACCACGTTATTACGAAAAGAGGAGCAGATCAAAAGATTCGAATTTATTCTGAATGGCAATTTGTTCAAATTATCTTCAAGAGGAGCTGAAATGCAGTTCACCCAGATACTCCCTTGGTACATTCGAGCATTTCTACTCAAACCATCCTCTTTTCTATTTCACAACTTTCCCAATCGTTAATCCCTCATTTCTCAATCCCAATCTCAAATAGAAAGAGTGAAAAGTTCTATCCTACACAAATTGTCCACATCTCCACTAATACTTATAAGAAAAATGCTACGAATTCTTGTTTCAGATATTAAAATAAAGAATTAATTGCCCTTTGATTAGACATGGCCAGCATCCTAGGTTTTAAAATGAAATCCAACTTTCTATAATCAAATTTCGCCACTCACGCATTTAAATCAGCTGGAATAGAAAAGACGAGACCAAATGGGCGTTTATTTGGTTCCCTGAATTCTCCCCAACCTGCCTGTTTCATTGACAGCAGATACCGATCTCTTGAATTTAGCGTAGTGGAAATTTGCAGAGATTTCCTGTCTCTTCAAAAGGACCAAGTCAAATCGTATCAGTTTCTTGAGATGATCAACTACCATTTAAGTTGCTATTCTTCACTTGAAACCGATTTACCCCCAGGAAAATGTCTTAGAATGTTGAAAGTCAAAAAATTCAAAATTTTGCACTTGTGAATATTAGGTATTTTAAACAGCAATGATTAGGGTCATTTTGTAGTTATTTATAAACCATTATTTCGATTATTTTGTCCATGTTATTGATGTTTCAGTTATAAGTATATGCATGACGCATTTTGTATTCAATATACATATTGGAAAAGATATGAACGTGTATCATTCTAGTTATATCAATTTAGCACGTTTGATTTGACCATAGTAGGAGGAATAATTATTTATATTAAATGTCAGGCTTATAATAGCTATCTTTAGCCCTTTAGTTGATTTCGGGGTTCATAGAGTGGAGGAGGAACAAGAAGGTCAGAGAAAGTTGAGAGAGGGAACAGAAGAGTGACTCATAGATGGAAAGGAGACTGACAGAATGGTAAGGTGAGTACCGCGGAAGAGGCGGAATATGGCATACACTGAGGTCATGACATTTTGAAGCCAGAGGTCAACAGATGTTTTTGTAAGTCTATCGCACACTCCAGTGCTAGAAATAAATTTATTTATTTATTTATTTCAAATGGTAGGCATTGCGATAGTTATCATTAGTCATTTAGCTGACTTAGGGCTCAACAGAGAGGAGGAGGAGGAACATTAAAGCAACAACATGTCGAGAGGGGGGGGGGACAGAAGTGTGGTTCACCGGTGAAAAGAGAAAGATGAACATAAATGCGGCAAAAAGGTAAGATGAATATTGGGGAAGACGTCAAATATGACATTCAGTGGGGTCATTGTAGTTTGAAGTGAGAAGTCAACTGCCAGTTAATAGACTTTTTTGCCGTATGAGTATACGTTGCCTAGGGTGCACCACGTGGAGGTAAGTCTATCGCACACCCCTATTTTTAAATACAGGTTTATATAATTTAAAAAGGCTCAAACTCAACTTATAATGTTAAGCACTTTTTCATTCTAAAATCGATCGATACTAAATGTATATTTTCAATGTCATTTCCATAAAATCAAGACCTCATTAATATCGATAAATCATCATTCGGAAGAATTCATAATTTAAATTATAAAATTTAATTGAATGAGCATGCATGGTTGTGAGTTTTGAAATTTCCAATAGAACCTAATGTCTTGAGACAATACATTTTTCTTGCTTGTCATCTGTCATTTTACTGCAAATGCCATTCGCTTTGTTCAACATGGAATATTTCTTAAAAGTCAAAGTTGACATTCTTCTCTGGGTCCTTTTGGGTTTTATTTTCTGACCTGAGGTGGCGCAGGCAGGACAACGTATACTCATACGGCAAAAAAGTCTAGTAACCGACATTTGACTTCTGACTTCAAACTACCATCACCCCACTGTATGTCATATTCAACCACTTTCACAGTACTCACCTCACCTTTTTCTCTACCTTTGTGTCTCTCTCTTATACATCTTTGAAACACTCTTCTGTCCCCCCTCTCGACTTTTGGTGACTTTGATGTACCTCCTCCCTCCTTGAAGCCTCAAGTCAACTGAAAGGCTAATGGTAACTATCAAAAAGCCTACCTTTTGCTATAAATTAATCTTCTGACCTCACTCCTGAGCTTGAGTTGCAGCGAGTACGGTAGAGCACCAACAGGCTTGCGCAAAGAGCACTTGATTTGGGGGGGGGGTATTTAGGTTTTCCTATTGCTTA